ACAATAAAACTTTTGCAATGGGTGTAATAAAAAAATACGTATGTGTAGTTTTATTTAAAATTAAAAAATCAACAGTAGTCTTATTTGGTAATAAAAGTCGATCGATAAAGATAAATAAGTTTGAAGAAACTGTAAATATTACAGTTAGCGTATTTGAACACCGTTATTGACCAAGAATTTATTAATATTTGCAAATAAAATGCTAAGATCAATTTAAGTTTCAAAGATATACATTTTACTAAATTAAAATATCTCGACTGTCCGGTCAGTTCAGTTCCAAAGATATTTTTTAAGAATACCTGCTTATTTTTTAGCAAATGTCACGTCCTATACTGCCAATAACGTCAAAAGTAGCAAGGAGGTTTTTATCCTCGGTACTATTCCGCTTAGAATGACTAACAACTCGACAAGAGTAACCATTGGCCATTTTTTGTGTCATGATAAATCATTTGTTGTTTTTCTACGGTTTTATTACCGCGGGGCCCAAACAGGCGGAAGTAAAGCCTTCTAAAAATAATTAACAACACGCAGTTTTAAACGCTAATGTCTAAGCGAAAAGAGTTTTATTTGATTACATTAAATAACCGGTTAACTTACGCAAGTTATTACTCAATATTTATATACAGGAAAAGGTAAACATGATTCAGCCATAGTTTCTAAGACAGCCAATGGTTTGCTCAGATATAGTAACGTAGGTAATTATTCAACGTTCCCAAGAGAAAGCGGACCAAACTTGAACACTGCTCCAGATTAAAATAAAAAACTCACCTGAATCAGTAGTCGTTGATTTCACAGACAAAACGTTTCGATATCACACCAAAAACAACAATAAAACCTCTTTACTTATAAAACTCACAAACAAAACTGTGTATACCGTTTAGTAGCAAAAGAAAACTAACTTTTATATAACTGTAACCGACTTCCTATAGTTTCAACCGGTTTTAACGACTTTAAATAATAAAAATTTAACGCGAAACTCACTACTCGGCGTGTTTATATTGTATAATTAGTATGTCAATAACTTTTATTTGTTTTACAATGAGATTTTTGTTGGCGTATTAGAATTAAAATGAAGAAAGGTGCAAGCGCGTTGTCACGTCGACCCCCCGCACTCAACTGACTTAACTTCTCAAGCAAAACAGTGTTACCAGTGCCCGAAGAAGGTTTTACAACGCCAAGTTAAAATACCAATCCAAAAAATCGCATTACATCCTTATTTACTCTAGATAAGACGCATAATGAAGTGATTTTTCACAATTGAAATGTAAAATTAATATTGTTTCTAATCATAATCGTGATACAAAGAGAACTTTTTTGTTTTACAAAGGAATAAAAAATACATAATTGAATGACATGAAAGGAACAAAAAAATTAAAAAAAAAATCACACGTTTAGCTATTATTTCAACGCGTTGAAAAGTTAATTTTTAATTTTGTTGATTAACCACTTTTAATAGACTTAAATTGACCGCTCTTTTAATTCAAATTTAGGTCTAGAATTTAAAAGTTATTTTAGGAGGCCTATGTACATCAATAGACATATTATTATGAGGATGATGATAAGTGAAATTTAAAAAAGGATTTTTTTATTCCAAGTTCATACTTATACATATAACAAAAAAGGTAAAATGATTAAGTTTTTGTTTTTGTTCTGCAGGCACCAATCTTTGGAACCGCTTGTCGGATTTCCATATTTTTTTTACTGATAGACAGCTTCAATGCTCCTGGGTGCTATAGACTATAGATTATAGGTACTTGGCTATTAATTATTTTAGTCGAGCTATCGCTTTAAACGCTGCTGTTTTTCAAATCCCGGGATTTATTACTTTTAAGAGTGAGAAACTGCGGGTGGAAACTAGTATTTAATAAAACTCAGTCTTTAGCTTCACAATTTAATTATTGAATGACTTAGGTATTTTTCACGGAACATATTATAAATGGGTGCTGTCAAGCTGTCGGTTCAAAATCATTGCTTGAGCAGCTTTTGATATAATAACTACATATTAACTTCTCATCGCGTTGATGAAGTAATTACAGCATTATAACCTACTTAGTTGCTATGAGACGTCCTCTCGTTAATGACGCGTTGAATTAAAAATAGCTTAAATTACGTTCCTTGTTCTTAAGCTTAGTTCGAGTGCAGACACTTATTTTAGTTAGGGGCCCAATCCTTCCCCACCCTGATACCTAAATCTCTAAAACCCTAATCCACAAAAGGTCGGCAACGTACTCGTAACTTCTCCGTTGTTGCGCCTGTCCATGGGCAGCTCTGATTGCTTACCATCAGGTAACCCGCCTGTTCGTTTGCCAAAAAAACAAACAAAACGCTTTACAAATAGCAACATTTATTGTATTGAATATCACAAAGCATACGAAGGTACATACATTGAGGGAAAATGTACTGAGAGTAACTATAATTAGATTAAAATTTAGGTCATCTGCCGATTTGAGGTTGTGCAGCGATTAATATTCGTTTGTGAGGATAACCTTAACTTTAATTCTGATGACTTTGATTCCCGCACGGTACTAATCTTTTATTGATATAGAAATGGTTGTCCCAGGTCTGGGTGAGATGTGTATGTTAAATTGTATGTTTATAATCGCATCCACGGCACAGGAGAAAATCCAAGTTCGGAGCAATTTTTTTTTTAGAAAACATGAAAGTCCTTTGATTTGTAGGGGAAAAAAAAACTAACACAAAAAATACTTAAATTACACAAATAAACATATCATAAAAACAAAAACAAACCACATAAGGAAAAAATTACATCTACAATTACAATTACCCACAAAATTGGTAAATATAATAAGTTGGCAACACTACATACAGGTGCTAAAGTGACCCACACAGGTAGTCTCGATCCCGGTTGCGTTGTATAAACGCTTTACTGTTTTTTAAAACCTGTGTTTGAAACTAATATATTCAAGCAAAACTAATCGGACGCAATTAATAATTAGTTTAGGGTATTTTGCAAATACGTAATCAATTAGTCCAGTTTATTTAACAATTCTTTTTCCAGTAAGAATTTTGTTGTATATTACCCTAGCGCTCGGCTTCATAACGGATGCAATGGTAATAATTATCTCCACTATTTAAAGGATGTTATCACATACATATGAACTTTTCTCTTCAATCACTCTGTCTATTAAAAAACCGCATCAAAATCCGTCGCGTAGTTTTAAAGATTTAAGTCTACATAGGGATATAGGAACAGAGAAAGCGACTTTGTTTTAGTCTATGAAGTAGGTATGTAATGATATTTTTTTCAACGTATTTTTTAACATGGCGTTTTTTTAATGTTAATATAGATCTTCGCGTGTTCCATTCTTATGTAAGTACCGTGTTGCAATAGATTTTTGTATAAATATGTAGTGATGTGGGTAACGCTAAAACGCAAAGAGAAAATTCCAAAGAATTCTAAACATCTTCTCTTCTTAACAATACATAGGGATATAGGAAAGGAGAAAGCGACTTTTTTTGTATTGTATAGTTTGAATAGTGAAATAAGTAGTTTTTACAGTTAATCGAGAGGAAATCTGGACTTATAATTACTAATAATAAGTTTGAAATAGCCAATGCGCGTTGATCAAGCTTGATGATTAATACTCAAACCTTATTCGTGTGAGAAGAGGCTTTTGCTTAGCAATGGACACTGATGTTTGTGATGTGAGCTGCATGTCATCTACCGGTAGGTAATCAGCGCCACCTATGGACACTCGCAACGTCAGAGGAATTACAAGCGCGTTGCCCGCGTTTTGTCCAAGAGGGGGAATAGGTCAATGCACTCTATTGTCAACATAGGTATTATCTGACATCTTGCATTTGTATAAAGTAAGTTAATGATAAGATTGTGAGTCTTTTATCAACAAACTTTATAGAGCTTTTGTAAATTCGGCTCTAATGAGAAGCGCTGACGACTGGGTCTCCGGTAACTCAAGTGCCATGCTTCGGCACGAATGGGTCGGCTTGACCTTAGTGATTACAAGCTGTTACAATTTTTGCTATACTTTTTGAACCGAACACAGAAACCGACCAAACTTGAACATCTAAGGACACAGTCAGAAAGCAGTATTAATACCAACCGAACTTTTTAAATCAATCATAGTCCAAATTATTTCCATCATAACCATAAAAATAATGACGTTTGCTTTGACATTTCTGCCAAAGGGAAAACACTGTTTTGATTTGAAAAGTTTACATGAATAATATAAGTTTTATTGTATTTAAATACTTAATATGGCACATTGGTAAGTTAAAATACACATTCAACATAATTAGCTATAATAAATGATGTAAGAGCCACCTCAGCTTAGGGATTTCTGACACCAGTCAGGCAGTAATGGTCTCTGATAAACCTGAACCGTTTAATTCATTAAACCCCAATCGAACGCCAACGTTTACACACCTATTGTTCTTCGGTTGTGTCTTGAATCACTACGATTGAAAGGATAAACTGCAATCTAATCTCTTGCCAGTGTAAGCGCAATCATGTGACAGGAGTCTGTTTAAAAACTCTAATGAGTAAACCATGGGTGGACCGAGAGAGTGTCAAGTTTTATTGCAAAAAAATGCGATGCTTTTTTTGAAGGGGAAAATCATTAAGTTCTCTCGTCCATGGAGAGGCGAGAATCAGACTCTTACTGACAAAAAACTACCCTGTTCCTTCTCCTTCTTTGCTGAACATCGGCTCTGTTGGAACGCCTGAGAGTTTGGTATTAGCAAATCACTTAGTTGCGCATTGCTATCTTCAATTCAATCCGAGATTCCTAGCTCGGCATTTGGACTTTTGAAAAGTGTGGGAGAGCCATGCTTCGGCACGAATGGGTCGGCTCGACGGGAATGATACCACGGCCTCACAGAAAACCGGGCGTGAAGGAACACTTACGTTGTGTTTCGCCGTGTAAGTGAGGTTACCGGAGTCCCATTTCTTCTTTGTTTTGTTCTTCAATTCTTGGATTCTTAAATACCTAATAACCCACATATGGAGCCCTAAAGGGCTGATGTTCTGCCAGGGTTGCGGGCTAAGCGCAATGCGGCACCGCGACCTCGGCCCAGAGAAGAAGAAGGAACAGGGGGGTTTTTAGTCGTTGATGTTTTATAGTCTGTAGCACTCAGGAACATTGTAGCTACCTATCAGTGAAAGAATTTTGCCAATCCGACCAGCGGTTCCAAAGATTACCCCCTACATGCAAACTTACAAATTTTACAATAATATAATATCGTTTGCAATTCATTCCAGCTGTTCCCAATGCAACTTCACGTCACAATTTGAAAGCGCATTGATAATGCATCGGCAACTGCACCACGGGACGAAAGATACATGTGCTGATATTCTAAAATCTGCTGGGCTACCGGTATACCTAATTTATATATACTTTTTATTTTATATTTAATGCTAGAGTACCAACTTCGCAAGAAAGCAAAGCAATTACTAAAATTCTCCACTATTTATTGAATTTTTTTTATGTAATAGGTCATAAGGCAAACGAGCAGACGCATTATCTGATGGTAAGCAATGGACACCCGCAACGGAGGAGTTACGAGTGCGTTGCCGACCTTTTAGGGATTAGGGATTTGGAGATTTAGGGATTGAGGAGGGATTGGGGGAGGGTAAGGATTGGGCCTCCGGTAACCTCACTCACAAGGCGAAACACAACGCTGTGGTTGTTTCACACCGGTTTTCTGTGAGGCCGTGGTATCAGTCCGGTCGAGCCGACGCATTCGTGCCGAAGCATGGCTCTCCCACACTTTTGATGTTATCAATACATAAGTATAATAAAATTGTAAATGGTCGATGTCTGTACATGAAAGGCAAATAAGAAAAACTTTACATGCGGATCTTTATACGAGTATACGTACGCAATAGAACCCTAAAATATCTTTTGATTTTTTTTCTGTGTCTGTCAATGATGTATAAATCTATAGATACGTTGTCCGCGCTCTAAAATGGCAACATGAAATGAAGGCAATTTGACAACATCGCGCTTAGTCACGCACCAACCTCCCGCGCGACGCTACGTTTGTTTTTAATTTATATCGTGTGTAAACCTGTGCGAAACATAAAGAAAGCATGTCGTCGTGTGTGTTCAGACGATGTACAAATTATACTCCAAAAGTTAAAGACAAAAATGTGTCATTTCATGCGTAAGTTCACCAAACAACCTATTTTTATTTTATTTTTTTCGACGCCGGCGCCCGCCATCTTATGGCGGCCGGCGCATGAAGGTATAGTCACGTGACGTCGGCATAACTGAAGACGTATATTTATCTCCCTCTAGCAAAGGCATTCCACTATACGATGTCATATTTGCTTTCCCTTTCTTTAGTCGTAGAAGTAGTTATCTTGTATTTTCGCCGTTTTTAAGCGCCGCGATGTTGGTTCATGACGTGTCTATATATAATACGTCATTGGTGTCTGTACGTTTGTTCGGTCGGGCTAATCTCAGAAACGGCTTAACCTAATAGAATGCGGTTTTTACTATTGCATTGCGGTTTGCTGGGATTAAAATCTAGTCATACATATAAATCTCCCTCTCTAAATCAGTGTACTATTTAAAAACAGCATCAAAATTTGTTCTTCGTACATCCGTACTCACTAGTTGGCTAGAAATTACAATATAAATATTATTTTGACAATCAGTTTGTCATTCTATTATTTTATTTTGAAGTTTTTACTTTGCATAGAAGTATTCACAATAAATAGAAGTATTTATATACATATAGATTTCCTAATCAAAAAGGCTTACTATTCTGTGAAAGAATTCCTAGATGAGAAATAACCGTCTACTAAATATTAAAAAGGTGTAAGTAAAATATAAGTACCTATATAAATGTTCAGAATAAAAATGCAATAAATATAAAAATTGCATGTATAATTGCAATACCTAACAGGTCACTAAGCTCTAAGTTCTAAGTACCTTAAGAATATTGTTAATATTTAAAAAAATATGTAGGTATACACTTAGTTCGCAATAAAGAATTAGAATTTGAATTTGGAACTTGTAACGAGCATTCAAAAGGATAATGATGAGACTTGAAAATTGGAAATACCCTCACATTAACCAAAATACCGCACTAATATTCTAAATAACCTACAAGGATGTAGCGATGACAAAAGTAGTGATATTTATATGTTGTTTTTTGAGTATTATCATATTTTTTAACGTTGTTCCACATTTGGATATTTCCTGTGTCGTGGGAGCGTTTACAAACATACAACTGGGTAGTTTCGTAGGTCAAAAATAAATTAATTCGCCGTTTTAATACAATAAAGTATTGAAAAATAACTATACTTTTATTTATCCATTGCTCGATACACTAAGTTTTAGATAATTTGTATCTAAATATTTAAGAAATAAGTAAGCTATTTGCCGCAAAAATACTATGACGTCATAACTCAGTTTTTCATATATATTTCATAGAAAAGTATAGTTTTTGACATTTGGATAAAAGTATTGAATTTTGACTAGTTGGAAACTACAGTATTTACAGAAAAGTATACTTCTTGACATGACATGTCAATAAAAGTATTGAATGTGACTAATTGAAAACTACTGGATTATATAGCTTATTTGTGACAGTATTAAGTGAACAATTGATTAAGTCAGTTGGAAGCTACTGTACGCAGATCGCTTCTAAACAGCTGATCTTCAGCGGGAGTGTTCCACAGCACCGTTTTCATTCAGCATTGGACGTCATGTGAGTGATATGATTATTTATATTTACAGGAGAAATCACACACAGTCCCAAGAGGCACAACGTTAAGTCCAAATTACACTTGCGAGAGAAAAGGAAGCAAATGTGAGTACTGAGTAATAAGGTCAAGGACATCTCTATCCCACACATGAGGGTCCAAAACCTGTCAAGTACCAATGTGACTTTTTCCGAGTTATATGTACTTTCTATGATTATTTAGACACCACTAACCGTAAAGGAAAACATAGTGAGGAAACCTGGACTTTATAATATATAAAGATAATTTGTAAATATAAGTTTGAAATCGCCAATTCGCCTTGAGCAAGCGTGGTGATAATGCTCAAACCTAGAGAAAAATCATTCGATGATTTTTATTGTAATCTTCCCAAATTTCAACAAAAAAACCAGATACAGTAATGGATATCTTCCAGCTCAGTGAATCTGAAAATTAAGTACCAACATATACTTATTATGAAGCTGTAGACCTTTTTTTGTTTGAACGTGTTAATCTCTGAAACAACTGGTTCGAATTTAACAATTCTTTTTTGTGAGATAGTCCATTTATCGAGGAAGGTTATGGGCTATAAATCATTAGTCATAACGTCACGATCTGTAGGAGCCGGGCAGAGTAATAATGTATGCTTTTACGACTATTTTTCTGTACAGTACTAGGGCGGACGTCTTCAGCAACTCGTCTCTTCGACAAGTTGCGTGCACGCATATGTCGCAGTAGGACGCTTTTCTCTCATCCTGAAGAGAACCTGGATGCTACTTTACCAGATAATAATGGCGATGTTAATGTAAGTTAAGTTAGTAAGTTAAGTACCCAGCTTCGGCGCGAATGGGTCGGCTCGACCGGAGTCGACACGGCCTCACAGAAAACCAGCGTGAACCAACCACAGCGTTGTGTTTCGCCGTGTGAGTGAGGTTACCAGAGGCCCAATTCCACCCCATCCCCAATCCTTAAATATTCCAAACCTTCATATCTAAATGGCCGGCAAGGCAGTCGACAACAAATTCTTTGATGTTGCGGATGTCCATGGGCGGCGCTGATTGCTTTGCTTACCATCAGGTAATCCGTCTGCTCGTTTGCCGACCTCCCTATACCATTAAAAGTACAATACATGCAAGGGTAGTTAGCAAAACTGTACTGCGGCCTCGACCTGGTTTTTAGTCAGTAAAGGTAACAGCATATATTAGCCAACCGGCAACCACTCCGCACCGAGCCTCATGCTGCTAATATTTTTTATACCTATGTAGTCACTACATCAACTCCGTAGCGCCACCAGAACGCCTCAGTATTCAATATTCTTCACGCGCAAACGGCTGTTGGCTTCTCGGAGACAATTCATTGGGCGTTGCCATCACGCAGATCCGGAATGGACCGCGCAGTGCTCTCGTGCCATTTCTTAACTCTACTCAAAAATTCGTGTATAAAGCGGCATCCATTCGTTGACCATACAGCGTTCATTTTTTTTAACGCGTGGGGTCTTCTGGTTGACCGTAGGACGATTGTTTATTGGTGATTACGAGACGTCAATGAAAAGCCAATGGCAAAAAGGCAATAAAACGGCACTTTGATACGTCAAAAATCGTCTACCCGTGGACCACCTGTCCTCAACGAGTGGACTTCGACGAGGTGATGGTGATGCAGCGTGGGTGACAGGTGGCTCTAACGGGCTATGGCTTAAGTCTGACCAACTCCCGTCCCATCCTGGACGAGAAAAGTCACTTGATAACCCCTCCCCCCCATAAAAGGCAGAATACATGTTTATGTGTAAATGTGGGAGAGCTATTCTTCGGCATTACCTGGCTTAGAGGCTTGCAATGGTTACCCATAAAACTGCACGCTTAATTACCTGTGTTGCTATTTCGATCCTTATTGTAATTAACCATACAGATGATATGTCGTGGTTGCCCGGAAGTTATGAGCCCAGAGCATGAGTTTGCCGGTTCAAAACCTGGCAAGTATATACAATTTGAGTTTTTCCGAGTTATGTGTAAGCTAATTTATACACCACTGACATATGGTGGAGGACAACATCCTGAGGAAACCTGGACTTTTAATTTCTTACTATCCATGGTGCTCAAACCTTCTCCTTGTGAGAAGAGGCCTTTACTTAGCAGTGAGCACTCATAGGCTGATGATTGATACAGGAGACGGTGATAGGCAGTGACTGCACCTCAAAAGGTCTTTTGGACAAGGGTCTCGCGTCTTCGCCTTCACACGCGTCTGTAATTACGGTGAGAGAAACCAAGGAAACCTTTGGATGCCATTTATGCTCGTTCGATGCTGATAGGTGAGACCTTTTGATATTTCCATCTCATTCGTTCCTTTTAATTTATAAGTGATACCATATAATTAGATAAGTTTACCTAATCCTGTAATAATTTTGAATGAAGTTTGAATGTGGAGAGCCATGCTTCGGCATTGGGTCGGCTTGACCGGAGTGATACAACGGCCTCACAGAAAACCGACGTAAAACAACCACTGCGTTGTTTCAATTTTCTTCCACTTCCATCCTTTCATTGCAACATACTCTTAACTCTTCTGCTGCTGCTGGTGTCCATGGGCGGCACCGATTGCTTACCATCAAGTGACTAGTATGCCCCTTTGCCGACGTCATAAAAAATGCATATTTAACAAGTGCGATTGGCAAGCAAGGGTTATTCGGTTCTACGGTATCCATTGGTTGACTCAATAGCCAGTCAAGAGCTGTTATATCTTTATAATAAAGAAATGTTTCTTCTTTTTTTCTTCTTTCACCGGATCAACCTGCATACAAAACAACTTGGCTAGTTGTAGCTACCTCCTAATTATTTTCCTATGCTTATTACTGTTTGGCCTTCTTACAGAATAACAGTTCTAGACAGACATCTTCTAAACGACCACAAAATTGGTTTGGACAACCTTCTAAAACTGGTCATGGCAAAAACCAAAGATGGTTTATCAGATGAGATCGTTAACACTGCAATATATGGCATAAGACAGCCGTATTACAAACCTCTTGACGAAATAATCGAAGATGGGGAATTCGTTATAGAAACAGTGTCGCCGAAGATAAAGATTCTGAAACACGCATCAACGAATACGGAAAACCATTGGTCCGATTTACCCGATCTAAAGGACAATTGTCGAATGATATCTAAAGAATTGGAGAAATTAATCAAATATCCCATTGAAGAATATGATAAAGAAGACTTTTTACTTAAAATGCAAACTCTAAACGATTGTATGTGCAAATTCGTTGATTCTTCAAACACATTGAAGAAGGTTTTGACTAAAGAGTTTGATATGAAGCATTCGTCATCAGTTCGCGATCATTTGAATTTGGAACAGCCGTTCTATGATTTATGCTTGGGAGAGTAAGTATTAATTCTTCTTTTTTCTTCTTCACGGTTTACTTCTTGTAGACGACTTCATTCGTCCTCTGAATTACATCAGATATATTTCTTGTTTCTTGACGATTATCGACCTTATGTTATATCATCTTCTGTTGATAATCCAAGACAAGGGGGCATGCAAATTTTCGTAATCATCACAGAAGCGTGTTTAATTAGAAACAATAGGATGCATTTTGGAGAGTGTGCGCAGGAACTGCACGATTTGATTCCGCCATCCCAATTTCACCTTTGGATATCCCGGCGTACGGCAAATATCCACCCTTACGTTGTTGAGACACCTGCGGCCCGGACTAAGCGTTTTGTCTGCCTCGTCATTTATACCGCGTACATCGAGAGATTGGAACAGTTTGCCGGCTGCAGTCTTTCCGTTCAAATATAATTTAGGTGTCTACAAGGCTAGAGTGAATAGGCTCTTAATAAACTAGTGCGCCTTTACATCAACGATTGCATCACTGCTTACCATCAGGTGGGATCGCAGTCAAGCCCTAGTTTAAAGCAATAAAAAAAAGAATCCAATTTTTCTGAGCGCTACAGTCCGGTAACTGTCAAATATGGAATCCGATGATGTTTTTTATCGGATGGTCTGGATATCTGGATGATCAAACCTTAATTCCTAAAACCCCTCAAAAGGCTGGAAAAGCAATCGTAACTCCTTTTGTGTTGAGCGGCGCGAGGGGGTGTTCATTAGCAACGCTGATTGCTTAACATCAGGTGATCCGTCTGCTCGATTGCCTGAAACTGCCGCGCTAAAATACAAACAATTGTAAGCAATTAGCGCACCTTTAGGCAGCATCGGAGAAGTATGGGAGGGCCGAGTTTCGGCACGAATGGGTCGGATCAATCGGAGTGATCCACGGTCTTACAGAAAACCGGCGTTGTGTTTCACCGTTACTGGAAGCCCAATCCCTCACCATCCCCTCATCCATTCGTAATCCATAAATATTCGAAACCCTTATCCCCAAAAGGCCGGAAACGCACTCGTAATTCCTTTAGTGTTGCGGGCGGTTGTTTAGCATCAGGTAATCCGTCTGCTCGTTTGCCGACGAAACGAAAAGGGGTTTAATGTTTAAATATTTGGCTCTGACATTTAAGGCTTCTGACGTTACCAAAAGCCTTAAATGTCATTGACTATTAGGGGCTATTTACACCGGTAAGCGCATCGACGCACGCCTTTCAGAAAAGAAGAAGTCAAAATCATTTATTTCAAATACTCAACAGTAGGCACTTTTGAACGTCAAGCAAAAAACCCTTATTTTTAGAAGTTTAACTTTATGCGTGTCAGTCTGTCCTGTCTTGTGAAGCTATTTGCTCGTTCCAAAGTGTAGATTCCTATGGAGAAGAACGAGCAAGAAACTCCATGGTTATTCTTTTTCAATCAGTTTTACAATTTATTTCTTTGTTACATCCTTTAGTCGGTTCTGATATGTGAGAACAGTGTAATACTAATGTTTAGGGCCTTCCATTTTCTCCTCTCTAAAAAAGAAGGCGCTCCGTTAAGTCAAAATCCAAGTCAAAATCATTTATTCCAACTAAACCATAAATAGGTACTTTTGAAACGTCAAAATAGAATAGTAGTCTATCAGTCTGTTCGTCAGTGGAGCGTGGTGCTCGTTCGAAATTGTAGATTCGATTGGAGAAGAACGAGCAAGAAACTCTATCACTCTTCTTAATCTGGTGACTCTTCTGAACCTGGCACTGTGCCTCTGATTCAAGCTATATGGCTAAACTTAGTATAGACGACTTGACTTGACTGCACGGTTGGTGCGGTGGCTGGGCAACTGGCGGCCGTGCAACGTGTCGCGGGTTTGATTCCCGCACGGAACAACTCTTTGTAAGACACACAAATTGTTGTTCCGGATCCGGTTGTCATGTGCATGTGAAATTGTATATTTGTAACCGCACCCACGACAGGAGAAAATCCTAGTGTGGGGCAATGTTTGTCTAAAAATGAAGAATGAAGACGTGTATGTTATATTTATATGTACAACATTTTTGTTCAAGCAGTAGAAATACATCGCAACTGTGGGAGCGAGCGCACAGTGAACAAATGGACAGAAACAAGAATAAGTATGGTGAAAATAGGTTCGTATAAAATTTATTTACTATTTATTACACATACATCTTTACAATACGGTAGTTTCCAACTAGTCAAATTCAATACTTTTATCCAAACGTCAAAAACGATACTTTACTATGAAGTTTGTATGAGAAACTGAGCTATGACGTCATAACATTTTTGCGTCAAATAGCTTACTCATTTCACAATAATTAGCTAAAAAAAATCTAAAACTTGGTCTATCGATCGATCGATGAATAAAAGTATAGTTATTTTACAATATTTAATAGTATTGAAACATCGAATTAATTTATTTATGACCTAGGGAACTACCCAATTATACAGCTACTAGCTTCCGACCGCAGCTTCGCCCGCGTGGTAATTTGATAAAAAGTAGCCTATGTCATGTCCTATTCTGGAATGTATCCTATGCCTGCGCCAAATTTCATCCAGATTCATCCAACCGTTTTGGCGTGATTGAGCAACAAACATCCAAACATCGTAACTTTCGCTTTTATAATATTAGTAAGAAGTAAATACATTTGTACTTTATACGTAAATATAAATAAAACTGGAGTGCGAATTGCATGCATATATTTTTATACGAATACTAGCAGACCCAGCCACGCGTTGCTGTGGCTAAGGTAAATAATATTGTGAATATAATTGAGATGTAAGCTATCCTATCAAAAGTCAAAAATCATTTATTTCAATTAGACCACAGTAGGCACTTTTGAACGTCAAACAAGCAAAAAAGGAAAAAAGTATATAACAAGAGCTTTAAAATTAAGCGTGTCAGTCTGTCCGTCTGACCTCTAGTAAAGCTATTTGCTCGTTCCAAAGTGTAGATTCCTATGGAGAAGAACGAGCAAGAAACTCCATGGTTACTCTTTTTCAATCAGTTTTACAATACATTTCTTTGTTACATCATTTAGTCGGTCCTGATATGTGAGAACAATGTAACACTAATGTTCAGGCAAAAAGTACGAAAAAGAAGTGAACCTCAAGGACAACATATTTAGACAGCCTGGAGATGACCAGTCCCAATAGGCGGCGCCCGTTCACGAACATGACACGTACACCAGCACCGCCCAACTTAACCATATTATAGGGAATTGGGCGATCCAGTGCCCGTGCCACCGCCAATGAGACCTCTGAGTGAGCATGACAGCTCCCAGCCGACACAAGTACTTATATTCTACAAGTCTTACTTAATTATAATATTATATTATATCTTTCAAGTTGGATCAAAATGCACACGGAATGCAAATCAAATTCAAAATCGGTTTAGTAGTTTAGGAGTCCATCGCGGACAAACACGTGACACGATATTTTGACATATAAAAGATATACGGTATAGCGCGGCCGACGTATCTTGACGAGTCTGAAGTTAGGCGATTAGCTGTGCAGTACACAATTTTGTTCCTAAAAGATCCATTGCGCAGACAAACGGCTAACTTCAGACTCGCCAAGATACGGCGGCCGTACTGTACCTACACATAAATATCATTTATTACAATTTCTTCAAGCTTAGAGGCCCTCAAGCGCGTTGGAAAGGCAATGTTTGTGGAGCCATCTTAATTAATAATATTGTTTTCTATTTCAGAGAGAAGAGATTTGGTTCGGAGAGTTTTTACTTTTAATTTTAATATAACTAATTTGTGAACAATTTAAGATACTTTAGTTAATAAATTGTTATTTATTAGTTCGTATAGCTTTGGTATTTTTATTTCAATTGCGGTTAGGTCTTCTATTAGACGTCTTATATGATAGGACGGCAAAGAATTCGACAATTACCTAATGGTAAGCAACCAGCGCCGCCCATGGACACCCGCAACAATACAGGAGTTACATGCCACCGCCAATGAGACCTTGAGTGAGTATGACAACACCAAGCCGACTTCTACTATGAGGCACCGCGGCCTCGGCCCAGAGCAGGAGAAGAAAGGGGGGTTTTTAGTCAGTAAGTCTGACACTCCTTCGCGCCCGACCCTGGGCGGGAGAAGTCATTTGCGGATTTTTCCCTGAGAAAAAAAGCTGACTTCTGCTACGTTGTTTAATTTTATTACATAAAATATTGAGAACCTATATTTTGTCCACATGGCTTGCGAGAAGGGGGGGTTTTCGGTCTGTAGGAGTCTCGAGACTCTCGCCTTACTCTGGGCAGGAGAAGCCATTGGATGATTTTCCCTTGACAAAAAAAGGACATTGCTCGTATGACCAGAATAAACAGAACTGATATAGAAAATAAAAATGCAAAGTGCAATGTCGAAAACGAATTAAATATAAACTTTATTTTGTAAATCACAAAAAGACTTCACAAAAGTTTCGATTAACACTAATTACTCACACTTTAACTGTCTCTAATATTTTAGGTTCACAATTTAATGATACACACCGTCTTCCATACAGCTGTGGTGGCCACCATACTCTTCGTTCAGTTCTCTACAGTGATCACAAATTAACACCCCAGTCTGTACTTTACGTTTATTCTCGTAATGGCAACACAGCATATAAACGCACTTGTCACACTTCTGTTTATCAGAGTGGCTACACTCATTTTTACTATTAGAGTCGCCACTGGACATGCAAGTTTGGCAAACTTTGCAAGAACTGTTCTGAGAGTTATCGCATGCATAGCCAAAATCCCTTTTGTATGGTTCCGTGGTTGTGTTGAAATTGTTGTTCACAACCGGTAAGACTCTTGGACCATTTCTCACCATCGGACGGTTAGACATGTCAGAATTTTTCGGACTAGGCTTTCGGACGGTAGCAAATAGTCTGTTTACCTCCTCGATCGCGTCTTTCGACCTCGTTTTCGCTTTAAGCGAATACTTTAATTCTTCCAACTTCATTTGCGGTATTGAGGAAGATTTGTGTTTGATCAAATCTACTGAGTTCCGACTACCTACCACTTCTGGTTGGCTGGCGTTCACTATAATGAACCTTCCAGTTTCGTGATGAACTTTTTTCGATTCCTCTATAGAATATTGGAACGTGCTAACTGTGAGTCTGGTTCGATCTTTTATGTTTTTATCATTATACCGATCGTCTGTTGCAACCGCTGCGTCTTTTAGGACGACGCCGGATTTGACTTTCTCTTTATTCATATCGACTTTTTTATTTTGAAATACGGTTAGAACTTCATTTAGTAGGCTCAGGCCTTGTGCAACGTTTGTGTCTGAAGTTTGCACCGTTTTTGCATTTGGGTCCTTACTTGGGACGCACTTATCCTTCGTTTCTTTATCTTTTTTACCTTCACTGACACAGCAGTCCCTTGACTTTATGCATATAGGGCAACTTTTCGGAATTTTCCTGCAACACTCGCTAGATTTCCCTTCTACACGATTATTCAAGCACATTGCACAAACGTATTTTTGATTCTTTTGAACTTTTTTTGGAGGTTTGTCGTCCATCTCGGCGACTTTAGCGTTAAGATCCGAGGGTTTTATGTAAGTTGTTATTTTTATAAAAATACTTCTGCCGTTCGCTTCTGATATCATATGAAGCTCTGAAATTTTAGGTATACAGAATGAATACATTATAAAAAAAACATTGCCCTGCAATAGGATTTTCTCCTGTGTCGTGGGTACGTTTACAAAAAATTAAAACTCATACACCATCACACCCAGACACGAATTGACAATTTGTGGATCACAAGTGTTTCGTGAGGGAATCGAACCTGCGACATGTTGTACAGTAGCTAGTGGTCCATCCACTACATCAACCGAACCAAGATGTATCTACCTACTCTTTTGGATTTATGTTAGGCTTGGAGGAGAAAACTAGCAGCCTAGGGTTCAAACTATCTATAGTTAGGGGTATCTAGGTTGGCTGACTGGAAAAGAGATTTTCAGACATGGAGTGAATCAATTATCTGTATGTCAAGTTCACGTGAATCTCTTTTTTTATAAATTAAACTAAGATTGACGTCAGACTCCTGATGTTTATGAGCGCGATTCATCGCATATGTACCTTTGGAACTTTATTAAGTTAAGTATGGAACGGAGCTGATCAGAAACTTTATGAGATTCATCGGCAAACTCACAGACAGATTACCTGATAGTAAGCAATCTGTGCCACCCATGGACACTCGCAACACCAAAGACGTTACGGGTGCGTTGTCGGCCTTTTGGCGATGTTTCAGATGTTTAAAGATTGGGAAGGGATAGGGAAAGGGGGAGGGAGTGGGCCTTCAGTAACCTCTAGCCTCAGAATACAGAACAAACCAGAAGGCGTCATCGCGCTTCAAATTAAAGCAACTAAAACCATTCTCAACTAGAATAGTATGAAATTTCTACGATTAGTCAATTTTGGCACGTGGCATGTCGTGACGTATTTACGAGTATCAATTTTAATTTCATTATGCAGTCTTGTGTTATTACTACGAGTAAAAATGCTACTGGAATTACGAAAAAAGTGGATAAGATAACATTTCATCTGCAAGCATCGACTGCAATAGTATATTTAATTAAGTAATTATTGAATTTTTTTTTCTATGAAAATGATGCGGCCATTTTGTGAGTGTTGTCATTTTTGGTGAAAATTTTTCCCACTTATTGATTTGTTGTGGGTTATACTTTTGTCCATTATGGAGCCTATGTCATATTAGTTTCCCTGGCAAAAAATAAATACAAATCATACAAAGGGCTCGGTTAGATTAATTTTGGAAACCATCTAGCCAGAGCATACCTAGTTTGCTCAATTCACTTTGAAGAGATATATTTATGACAAAGGTGGTTTGAAAACAGCATATCCTACTAAGATATATCTATACTAATTATAATGCTGAAGAGTTTGTTTGTTTGTTTGCTAGAATGCGCTAATCTCAGGAACTAAGTAAAGTAAGTAGACTTCTAATCTTTAGATCTGAGTCTAAAGACATATTGAAAAAACTTAACCAGCAAAAGAGAACGCAATAAAACCTTTGGACTTATTGAAGCTTTATTTTATTTGTTGTGTATAGTAGGTGTTACTAAAATTAACACAGCCAGAAATCGTCAACTTTTATGATACCTCCATGAAATGTGTGAACAACTAGTCTGTTGCATTTATCGTATGTTTACCTATTTTGTTGGGTTTACTCGTATCTTACCCTCCTGTTGTAAAATTACCCCAAACCAAGGGAATTGTTCCACTGTCGGCAACACTACGCGGGTGGGAACTGCGGCTGGCGGGGGGATTGACGTATTGTTTTTGGACACATTTGACGACATGTAATTATGAGTGAACGCGGATTCTGGTTTGTTTTGTATTCTGAGCTCATAAGGCGAAACACAACTGGACCAAAAAACAGCTACATTAAAAAGTCTTACCCTGTCAATAAAACATACGATATCCTTCTTCATTTTAATTAGACTTCGAAAATAAATTCATAATTAAGTACCTATAAATATTTAGAAAAAAAAATAAAAACAGTAAAACGTGTATATTTAAGTTTTGTCAAAAAGAAATTCAAATAATTTGTGACAGCTTAATATTTTCATCAACGGTCTATCGGTAGAGTTGTTTATGATACTGCTAGAGGATTTTAGTCAAGAGGTGATAGTCTATGGTTTTACTTTGCTGACATCTCTCGCTGTTGTGTAGTGTACCTTTTGCGAGGCCGTGCTTACTAAGGAGGCGGCAGAAAGGGAGAGAGAGGCTCCTCCTCTCTCACCTACCGCAGCAGACGCACTTGACGTCGTAGGGTGGCCAACCTGCGGCCACCGTAGAGCGCAGCCTGCGGACTTAGACACGGGGCGTCTTGTCAACCGATTAGCAACCGGCCTCACAGTGAAGTCTGGGAGTTGAGGCCATCACACTGACCGTAGGACTTCCAGGCTGAGGGAGGAAAGTCTCCGTGAGGATTTTCCAACCAGACTTAAGCCCTTAAGAACCCCAAAAAAAAACTGTACAACTGGGAGAAGTTCAGTGACCAAAACACAATGGAAAATTACTATAGTAATGGTAGATCAGGTGGAATATCGAATATTACACTAAAAATATATATTCTTGACTAGAGAAGAAGATGACTTGAATACTACAATAATACTTTGCTCGGTGAACTCTCTTTCCTTATCATTACGCTAACAACCGTCACATCACACATCATCAGCCTATAACTGCCCACTACTGAGCAAAGGCCTCTTCTCACACAATAATCACCACGCTTGCTGACTTCCACTAAAGTTTATAAGTCCAGGTTTCCCTACGATGTTTTCCTTCACCACTCAAAACTCAAAGTCACTTTGGTACTTTCCAGGTTTCGACCCGCATCCTCATGCATGAGAAACTGGTGCCTTAAGCTCTGGGCTATTACGATATTTCGCTACGCAAACAACAGAGTCAATGTATAAATTCTTCTTTCAAAACGATGATGGATGCCTAAAAATCTGTCTAATTGAAAACAATAAGGCATACGTCAATATAATTAAAAAAGTGAAAGATTGTGAAAAAAAATTCTCTGTAAAAAATTAAATTCCCAGTGTGATTTGATTGCAAATTATATAATTTTACAGGTAAGAATGACATTAACTTATTTGTAAGAATATATAATTTTAGTTACATCAAGAAGGGTCTATGTGGCTCCGTACACTTAGAAAAATTCCCGTATTTGTCATTTTTATAGGGATCAATTTAACAACAAAAGTGTATGCCAATTCTTAGCTGCCAATTTTGACCAACAAAAACTACTAGTGCCCTGACATCTTTATACTATCCTGCAATAAATAAAGTATACTTCTATATTTGATCAGTGTTGAAGTGCTATTTGAGCCATTACTTTAATATTTATCAAAGTTTTTAACAAAAAACTGCATCACAAATTGAAAAGTTTTTTGTTATCAATAGGAAATCTCCTGGCTCCTTTTTAAGTAATGTTTATACACTCAATATAAAGTATAAATGGATCTGACACCTGCTGCTCGACTCCTATTGATCGTAGCGAGATGTTTTATAGCCTTCCTCAATAAATGAATTTTGGAACACAAAAAATAATCGTTCAATTCGCACCAGTGGTTTAGGAGATAACTTCATTTAAGCGAACAAACTCTTCAGCTTTATAATATAAGTATAGATTTATAAAAGTTTAAAGGGATTTAATAAACAGAAACAAAATTTTTAAAATCAAATCCTGGTATAGGTTTTATAATGCTAATCTGTAACTAAATAGTTGTCTAGCTATTGGTTTCTCTGTAAAAAGAAAGAAAGAAATAAATAATATTCGAATCAAATTTTACAAATTCAAATCGCCATGATATTGGGTTGCAAAGCACAGATTTTCAGGCACCATTTCTATTTATTAAATTTAAAAAAATGAAAATATTCCAGAAACGACGAAAGAAGAAAAATAAAAAAAATACAAGAAGCCATTTAAAATGATGATAATTAGGAAGAAATGAAAGCAAGCAAAGATGTTTACGTGACAAAAAGAGACATAAGGTTGGAATCAAATTTATTAAGAGATTTCGAAGCTTATAACCAAGCAGCGAAGGAAAAGGATAATTTGTCACTAAGAAATCAGCAGAAGACACAAGAAATTGGATGCCAATACGATTGTAGATGGGAAAATTTGAAATGCACCTGCAAGAACCTGGTGGCATTTAGAAAGAAGGAAGAAGTAAGAAACATTGAGTTACCAAAACAGGTATATGCGTACCACAGGTCGAGGAGTTCCACTGAAATTGGAGTGAGTAGCGTTAAAGCATTGCAGAAGAAGAAAGTAAAGAAGATATATTTGCCGGAGACAGACGACAGAGCAGTCGGAAGCTCGGATTTGTCGTCGTACGTTTTACGTAAGTTTGAGTGATTTTTAGCCTTTTTTAATTTCCAATTTAAGCGGTTAATAACTGGCATCATGCCACTACACTTTGAAGTAAATATCTTCAACGTTTTCAGCTGAAATCTTGTGTAAATTTTGCTCTGCATGACGAGAAATATTAAGTTGTTTAACCTTGAATCTTGAGACACGTTAAGCGTTGTGTACCGGGGCTCGATTGAAGCCACATGATTAAAGCTTTTTTAAAACGTTTTTCAAGTGAATATACTAACTACAGTATCACTCTTGCAGAGGCATACAGTAGTGTAGCATATTATGGCAGATGATTAATGTCATCATTATGATCATCAGCCTATAAGTGCCCACTGCTGAGCAAAGGCCACTTCTCACACGGAGAAGGTTAGAGAATTAATCAACATGCTTGCTCAATGCGGGTTGGCGATTACAAACTTATTTTCTTCACGATGATTACCTTCACCGTATGTCAGTGGTGTCTAGATGATTAATGTAAAATATATTCCTTAAAAAATGATATTCCTTCGAATCTGGTTGTGGCTGTAATTCCACTGAACTTTCACCTATGCTTAATAGGTGTTGATTTGTGATTGGCAGCAAATTTTCGTCTCACCGAAAACTGACAATTTCTATCCTAAGTAAAAAAATCTATAGTACGGCCGACGTATCTTGGCGAGTCTGAAGTTGGCCGTTTGTTTGCGCAATGGATCTTTTAGGAACAAGATTGTCTACTGCGCAGCTAATCGGCTAACTTCAGACTCGCCAAAATACGTTGGCGGTATTGTACTAAGGTTATTTAGGAGCATATATCTACTTATACAAAGTATGATTAAATATATTATTCTAATTAGTGTCTGCCTGCTGCTCACCCCCTTAAACATTAACTTTATTTCAAGAAAGGGCAAATAAGCTTCAGGCTTGTTAATGGCCGCAATCACAATTTCATGTATTTTTTATTTATTCCATACTGCAGCAATCGAGGATATGGATCAACGCATGGTAAGCAATCGGTGTCGACTATGGACACTAGAATTAAAAGTGCGTTGCCGGCCGTTTAGGGATGACAAAAAATTGGTTATCGTAGATTTGGTGGTTTAGGTAAGTTGGAGTTCTAGTCATTTGAAGGTATAGAGAGAGAGCATAGGGATTGGATCTCTGGTAACCTCACTTACAAAGCAAAACAGGACGAAAATGTTGTTTTATAACAATTATCTACAGTCGAACCGACTTATTCATGCCACTTCCACGTTTAACTTGATCTTCTTTTTTAGGGAAACATCGAAATCGAAACAAGGATACCTCTAATAAAAATAAAGAAACAACCTCGAAGTGCGTCGGAGGTACCGTAAAATACAATATCAGTTGCGTCATGAATGAGAAACTATCTCCTATAGTTTTAACTATATCTGGCGTCACGAAATCAAATAGAAATGCCGAAATAGGAAGTAACAGTATAATAAAAAGCCTCACAAACACAACAACACAATTTGAAGATGTAAATAAACAAGAATTAAGAACAGAAGAAATAGTTCAACCAATCATTACAGTACAAGATGATCTGGAAGATCGGAAAACGAACCGACATAACTCGCATAATAATTATGAATGTATTAAAGAAAAGATAAATAACCCAGTAGGGAAGGCTTTTTCTTCTGATTCATTAGTGCAACGCGTCCATAATCTTGACAATCTAAATGAAGGAAAAGTAAGTCAAAACACCGTTGTTATAGCTCCTACGGAGAATAAACTAGAAAAAGAAAACAAACACGTTATTGATAAATCAAAGTCCAAAGATTCAAAACCTGCAGATGAGAAATCCATAACTGATTTAAAAAGCCCATCAGCATTTAAACGAAGATTTGAAGCTATCAGACGAAGTTTGGCTAAAAGGGAAGATTTAAAAAAGAGTGCTACTTTCACGGAAGCAGGCCAAGTTAGTGCAACAAGTCATAAAGATGTGTCTATAAACTCGGATCCACCATCTTTAAAAGGTCGAACTGATTCTAATGCGAGAACATACAGCCCCTTTTCACAGATCTATAGCGGAGATAAGACCATCTACAATCCTGAGGCCTCCCGCCACAGACGGTCTATGAGTGGCAGCAACCATTGGTCATCCCAACGCATCGACAACGACAGCGAATGCCAAGGAGTAAAGGGTAAGTTCCAGTTATGGGGGAAAAAGTGCGATGAGGAAGAAGATTGCAAACGACGCTGCACTCCAAGACCTTCGTATACAACAACGAGAAAAAGATTTAACAAAAAAGAAGTCCCTAAAACGTTAAAGAAGTCAGATACAATTAAAAAAGAAAGCAGAAAGTTTTTCTTCTTTAAAAGAAAGGATAAAAGTAGTAGTAAAGTGAACCCTTTCAAACCTATGGTTAGGAAGGGCGTTACTGCCGGGCGGTGTGAAGTGAGAGATGGTCTAGTGATAAAGATATGTGGAGGAGCTAATACTGCAAAAGAGGCATCAAAACCACCAGAAAGTGTTGAAGACCATGGAGAAATTTTTAGAAATGGTTGGTTGAAGGAATACCTCTCACAAACAATTGAACCACGTAACAGCGTCCAAGTGAGGTGGAACAATAAAAAATATGCTCCAAGCAGCAGCACTGTCGTCGAATTAATGGACAGTGTCTACAAAGATTCAGGACTAGTTATTAGATCAAAAAGCCAAGTCTCAGTCCAGCCCTCCTACAAACCCCATACGAAACAACATGTCAGTTTTGTAAAACAAAGAATAGAAGCTTGGATGATTCCAAGAACAGTCACTGATAGACCACAAATGATACCTCTTAAACAGAATGCAAATGAAAACAAAAATAACAACATTGAAGTTACTATATCAGACCAAAAATGGTGTATCGATAAATCTAAAGCGTTTTCACATAAAATAGAAGTTGTATTGCATACGCAGAATTTTAGCAAACTTAACAACGAAGAGAGTTCGGAGTATCTTAGAATTGATATACCAAAAGGTTTTTTTGTAGATTCTAGTAGTGATGATACTAATAAAAATATAGTAGTGAATCAGTCTAGCGATGAAGAAGTTTACAAAATTGTTGAGTATGAGACAGGTAGTGATTTGAAAAGAGAGAAAACACAACGTAGTTTCTATACAGGAGATCATCATAAACAGAATAATATAAAGGTGACTGTTAGTGTAAAGGAAGTCAAAGATGGTGCTTTAAAACAAGATCCGCGGGTGCAGCGAGATGTGGTCATTCAAGGAAGTAATGTAAATGTCCCCTTGAAATGTGATGTGGTTGGTGTTGGCATTATCACGCAACGAGACCTAAGAGATATACGAAAACCAATGTAAGTTTTTTAACACATCTGTTGTTGCCGTAAGGTGAACACGAAAGTGGATTAACATCCAGTAAAACTTTTTGTTATTTATTAGTCTCAACATGTAATTAAAAGTACAGTCTATAACCAAAGCATTGGTTTAGATGTGCTTAGTTGGTATGTATTTAAAATTAGAACCTGTTAATATCCAGTCGTAGTGGTCCGGAAGGAGATTGGGCGGTTTATCAATATGCTTTTCGAAGCGTGTTCACTCAAGCAAATCTTATAATTAATGTTATTATTAGCATTTAGTATATTATGAATTTTTGCTTCAGTACAGAGGAGGACTACATTATCAGAATCGATCGATTAAATGTGTAAAAAACAATTTAAACCTAAATTACAATTATTAAATACCAATATGTAAATTGGTACTTATTAATTGTAATTTAGATCTGTTCACGTTCTGTTTCAAAACTATACTGTTTTGACGCTTATATAACCTCAAATAACATCTTGATTAACTAATTGTTTTTGGAAAAAATTGTATTACTGTACTGTGCTAAAAAGAGCGCAACCGAATGCCATGGTAGTTTGCTCAATCTCCTTGTGATATTAACGCTAGACTTTTTAAGTTATGTTGACATACCCAAGATAGACCACATGGTGTATGAAAGTGTCGCAGCCAGATGAAAATTGGGTTGTTATTAAAATAAGAAATCTTAAATCGCCATCCGCTCTAAATAATCCTGGTATTGAACTAACTATGGAACCAATATCTATGCCCTATAGTATCGTATCCTAAAATGTACCGATAAAATTTATAAATATGCTTTCAGCTTAAAGATCCAAGATGATTACTCAGATGAGGAATCTGACCGTGATGTTCCAAACGCAAATAAGAAATGTGAATTAGCGAAGAGGTTTCTTCAAGAATTCTGCCGTGATTGGACCCATTTAAGTAACGATTCATGGAGAGCCAGTGACCCTCATATGAGATACTGCTCTGCAACTAGCTTCCACAACGAAGGCATGAAGTCAAGCCCGAATATGTTTGATGAATTCCAAACGTCAGCTATTGTATCCTCGTGCCCTACTTCAGAATGCATACATTGCACTCCACACTTGCAAAACCTGGAACAAGATAAAAAATCCAAAAAATGCAAATGGTTTAAACGCAAGAAGAAGAAAGAACAGAAGAATAAGGACGAAAACTTCCAAAGGACTCGCCCAAAAGACTCAATTGAAGTTTGTAAACGAAGGAGGGTACATGCATTGCTGAAATCAAAGTGGGTGTGTCCTTATTCGGACCATGATCGTCCATACTCATTAGTAACCAGCAATGAGAGCAGAGCAAATCAGCACCTGCCGACGACGGAATGCCCGAAACTGATGAAGTCTTGTTGCAAGACTGTAGATCCACGACCACGAAGGCGAAAGTGCAAGAAGCACGTGTCGCTGCCAGATTGTGACACTATGAACGATTTGTTAGCACGACACCTCAATGGGCCCGAAGGCATACTGGCGTTCAAAGGCGCTGGCGGTTGTGAACTGTGTAAGAGGAAAGTTTGTCCGAAACATACAACAATTAACCACGATGTGTCTGGTGAGATCCCACGAGCACCCTGCAAAGAATCGTGTGAGCAGATGAAGAAACCTCCCTGCGCAAAAGATTCCTCTTCAACTTCTCCTGACTCACCTAAACCTGCGCCCTCGCCATGCCCACCGACTCCTTCTCCTTGTCCTCCTCCCCCACGCCCTCCTTCTCCATGTCCCCCGTGCACTCCACCGCCACCACCTTGTGCCCCACCGCCACCACCTTGTAACCCGCCGCCTCCACCTTGTAACCCGCCGCCTCCACCTTCTGCTCCACCGCCACCACCGTGTACCCCACCACCACCACCTTGTGCTCCACCGCCACCGCCATGTACCCCACCACCACCACCTTGTGCCCCATCGCCACAACCTTGTGCTCAACCACCTTGCACTCCAGCGCCACCACCTTGTGCTCAAATGCCAACACCTTGTTCCCCATCACCACCACCATGTTCCCAACAACCAATATGTATAATTAAACCACCCCCTTGTCTTCCAGCATGCGCCGGGTCTGCTGATGCCCCATCTCCATGCTTTACCCCTCCTCCATGTTGTAAATCAAAAGAACCACCCTCAGCACCATGTCAGAGAACACCTCCATCACCACCCCCGTGTAGACAGCCGATATCAAGTGAACCTCCGTGTAGGAATCCTAACTGTCCTCATACGTCACCTCACAGAAAAATACCTAGCTGCAGGACTCCACCAAATAATCCTAGCAGTTCTCCATCAAATAGGAGGTCTCCGGCTAGGCAAGCAAATGCAAAATCACCTCGCTCACCTTCGTCATCAAATCCTTGTCCACATATCCGTATTGTTACGTGTCCCTCTCCACCTGTGTGCCCTTACTTTTCTCCTCCTTGTCCTAACTTACAACCTTGCCCACATGTTTCAACGTGTACGCTGCAATGTCCACCACCACCCTGTCAACAACCACCGTGTCCACCGCCGCCATGTCCACCACCGCCATGTCCACCACCGCCATGTCAACCACCGCCATGTCAACCACCGCCATGTCAACCGCCTCCATGTCAACCACCGCCATGTCAACCACCACCTTGCCCACCACCGCCATGCCCACCACCGCCATGCTATTATCCACCTCCATGTCCACGCAGCCTACCTCCATGCCGACGTCCTTCTGGGTGCATCCCCCCACCTTGCCCTGGAAGACCACCGCCGTGTTGGGATCCATGTATGCCACCACCATGCCCGCCTCCATCATGCCCGCCTCCGCCATGCCCACCACCACCATGTCCACCACCGCCGTGTAAACCACCACCATGCCCACGCCCTACGCGATCTATGAATATCAGTCCTATTATTAAGAAACCATCTAGGAAGAAGCCTATGTGTATAGGCTCACTACCAAATGACTGTCTCCCATTACCACAATGTCCATCATCTTTATGTAGAGCTATGCCATGTCAGACCTCGCCTCCTAGATTGCAAAATCGCTCTTCAGCGAATCATTATGAAAAGTTATCTGACTCGTGCTCGTACAACTGCATCCAGTCGTCACCAGAAGCACCGTTCTTCTATTCCCCTATACATCCCTGCCCCATAGAACCAGAAAAATGTGAAAAGCCAGTAATACCATGTAAGTCGTCACCGTGTAACACACATCGTCCGGATTACACGCCTTCCGTTGAATGCGGTTCGTCAGTACCTCCTGTGTACAGAGGGCCGCGAGCGTGCGATGAATGTCAATCGTCGGATGTTAACGTCTTTCCTTGGCCAACAAAAAACCAGGTCTCGAATCAATCTTCGATGGCTTCTTTGTATAACGCGTCCACACAACCGGATAAAATCGTGTACGGAAAATGTAAGAAAGACTGCCCAATGTTGCCAAAGCTTTCCTGCGAAACTATTCCCTCTCCAAAGAAGGAATGCCCGTCAAGCTGCCCGAATAAGCAGGGCTCTCCACGTCCACCTTGCATGCCCAAAATACAGTGCCCACAGCCAAGACCACCTCCCAAACCAAAACCTCCTCCTCCAGCAGAACCAATATGCCGACCGTCTAAATGTAAAAGCAAATCAAAGTTATCCGGATTATTTCTTAAAATGAATCCTATTAAGAACAAAAAATCTATGTGCTCCAAAGATTGTTTAGCTTGGAAAACTAACTACAAAGGAGAAGACGGCTGTATAAGCCTCAATTCCGAAGAAAGAATTACTATACGACTGAAGAAAGACTCACCTTGCACACAAGATGCAACAGAAGGTTATAATATTAAAGTACAAGACGAAGACGGAATAACGTTGTTTGAAAGGAAGGATTACCGGCTGCAGCGAGCAGGTTGCAGTATAAAGAGACCTTCCTTGTTAGACGATATGTACAGGGCATCAGAAGTACGCAGGGTTACCACGAATGATTCTGTCAATCCCATAAGGAATAAGGACAAAGAATGTTTTAAAGAAATCTTAGAAGTTAAAAGTGATGCTAGTATAGCAAACTTAATAGAAATTCAATTTAAATTGAAAGTTACACAAGGAGACAATACAACAGAAGTTAATATAGGTAATGATGAATTTAAAGATAATGAAACTAAAGAAAACATTCAGGAGACTCTGAACCAGGCCGCGCAAGAAGTTTACATGGTTAAAAATGAAAGTGAGGAGGTTGTTGACAATTGTGATCAGAAAAATGATATAAACATTCGCATTGTTATAAAGAACTTTAAATCTAAAACGGGTAACAAGAAAATTAACTTGAAACATGACTCCTATAGCAAAAATTTTGCTGAGAAGATATCTGCCAAATTCCATACAGTTTCAACGGGCTACAGTGATGTTTTGCATGATGATAAAGTATTTTCAATACATAGAGCGACTGTGGACCTAACGTCATCAGTCGAAAATACTAAAACGCAGAGTATTAAAAGCGAGGAATGCATAAGCGAATCAATGTTAACGGCAGAAGGAATTTTAGCAGATTATTCTGAACCTTCTATATGTAGATGCATTGCAGCAGACCTGTCTAATGGAGGGAAAGGCGAAGACATAGAATCAAAATCATTTGCAAGTCAAAAACTCAATGGCAGTAAAGAAAATCATTTGATAAATCAAGATAAGCTAACCAATCGCATGTCTGAATATAACAAAGATTCAAATACTAAGAAACCATCCAAAAATCGTACACAGGAGACTGATACTGATAAACCAATAGAACTTGAATATGAACTTGAGACAGACACTGAAAAACGAGCCGAGATAGCAGAAACAAAGCAATTAAGTAGTATAGAAGTAATCGTCAAACCGTACACGAAAGACGAAAAAAAAGAACTACTGAAACAGATATTTGAAAAAGCGAATGATAATAAACCTAAAACTAAGGGCAGAATGAAGAAATTAAGAGAAATGCTGAAGGTTATACTAACCTCTGACAGCAGTGAAGCAGATGACCCGAATCTAACGAGCACAGAAATACCAAATAATGAGATTTTTGCGTCCTTAAAACCGAATGACTTCAAAGACAATGGTAGTATGAATACTTTCTATACAGAAGAAAGCAACAGACTACTTTTAGGAATCGATACTAAAGCGATTCACCCAACAGCTGAGAACAACAGCGAATGCAGTAACAGCAACAGTGAAGTATCAGTGTCGTCTGACACAGAAGCTCCTAAAGTGAGTGCTTGTATGTGTAGTACAGTCGCTGCTAGATTAAAAATGGCCTCAAGATTTGGTGAAGGAGGATGTTGTTGCACTAAGCAAATCGACCAAAGAAACGAAGAAATCACATGTGATATCAAACCTGATTCAGATTTTCATTACCTTAAACATGAATTAAACGACGTAGAAATTCAAAGATCTACATACCTTTCAAGCAAGGTCAATAGCACAAAACTATCGGTACATAGAAAGAACATAAGACCTAGTGAAACAGATAGTATAGTGTTGAAAGACGAATCTGGACTGATTGGCGAGAAAAGTTGGTCTCAGACGAATATCATTAGGCAATGTGAGATGAAAAAAGTTAAAGAAGGAGACAAAAACGTTTTGATGAGCAATCATACAAGCAAATTTACAGATAATAGAAATAAAGAAAAGAAAGAGTTCATCGACCCACCGGTAAAGATTAATGCGTCAGATATTTTGCAATCTTACGAAGTTAAGAAAGCTGTTTTAGAAATGTATACTGAAAAAACAATCTGCGATGACGGTGAACATTTGGTAGCTAAACTACCGAAATTTGTGTATGATAGGAGAAAATGAAATTATGAAGCAATAGCAACCAATTACCAAACTGTATGTTAATGACGTTAATAGACATATAGTCGTGCAAACTGCTCATTATGTTTTTAATGATTGTCTTTTACGGGAATCTGTGTAGATTGTTTAGATTCTTTTTTTATTTTTAAATAAACGGTTTTGTTGTTTTCTTTGATCTCTTAATTTTATGAAAAAATACTCCTAATACTACAGCTTTAACCGACGACCGTAATGTGATTGAGGGCGAGGAAGATATCATCTGGTCGTTTCCACCTCGTACATCTGAGGATTGGAATAGCTTGCCTGCAACGGTCTTCCCGTCCAGTTCTGGTTTAGGTGTCTTCAAGGCTAGAGTGAACAGGCTTTTAATAAACTATACTCGGAATTTTAATAAGTTTCCAGATTTGAAAATTTCAGTGTCGCAACGTTATGACAAGTACTAAATAGTGACGTTGCGAAATTATTCGATATGGAAATGGAATATTTCCGAATTATAAATTTACTCTCGTAAAATAAGTTTATCAGGAAATTAAATATTTCTGAACCGATAATTTAGTGTTGTATGTGAAATTGATAAAAAAATGTGTTCATGAAGGAACATGACAAATAAAACAGATAGATGTATTATGGTAATAATTTATTTTATAAATTGTCACCGTCATCGCTATTGCTATCGCTGTTACTTTCTGTAACATTTGTTATGAATTGTGTCTGTGATATTTATTGTCAATTATCATGTCTAGCTTACTAATTTTTTCCTCTTTGACAACATTTTTTTTTTTTTTTTTTTTTTGTGAGGGGAAAATCATCAAATGACTTCTCCCGCCCAGGGCCGGGCAGGAGGGAGTGTCAGACTCTTACTGACTAAAAACCCCCCTGTTCCTTCTCCTGCTCTGTGCCGAGGTCGCGGTACCTCATTGCGCTTACCCCGCAACCCCGGCTGAACATCAGCCCTTTAGGGCCCCGTCTGTGGTGGTCGAATGGCTCTTTGAGGCGCGCGCGGAACGCTACGCGCCGTACGCTCGGGCCTGGTTCTGGTCGGGCGGCGAGCTGCCCTTACTCGCCGACCGCAGGCCCGTACTTACGGTGGCCGGAGATCGTCCCTCGATCCCCGACGCCCGTAGTGTCGCCAGTTGCGGCTGCTGGGGCGTGAGGAGGAGGATTGCTCCCTCACGCGGGCCGCCTCTCTCTTTGCGAGCATGACTGCTTCACAAAAGGAGGAGACGGCGTCCCAGTTCCTCTCACTCCGCACCATGGCCTCGACTAAGGCCGGGCGCGAGAGGTCGCCGCCGCCGATCACTTCCCTGAGGATACGGCGGTGCTCAGCCCAGGCAGGGCATACCGCTACCGTATGCTCCACCGTATCCTCTAGGTGGTCCTCACAATGACGACACTCGGGCGTTTCCTCCCGCTGAATCCGAAACAGGAACCTACCGAAGCTGCCGTGCCCGGTAAGCACCTGCGTCAGGCGGAAGGTGAGGACGCCGTGGCGTCTCTCAAGCCACTCCTCAAAGAGGGGTCTTACCGCTGCTATGGTAGCGTGCCCGGCCCTCGGTTGCGACAGTCGTTGTTTCCACTCTGCCATGAGATCTCGCCGGAGCTCTCTTTGACAACATGGAAAACGTATTTAGGCCATTCAGTAGCCGTAATTTTTGAATGCCTTCCTGAAACTGATTTACTGATTGTTTATCGATTTTTGTGGTAATCACTACACGTGGTATCATTATTTCACAAAATGACCTAATGTCAAATCTGGAATCGAATTAATTATATTCTGACTATAGTGCGCCTTATCATCATCGCATCACTGTTTGCCATCAAGCACTAGTTTACATAATGTTAAAAAAGATATATAAAAATTCTCTTTATATAAAAATTCTTAAGTTAAAATTCTTTTAACTTCTTCTTTAAAAGATAGTTCTGTAAACGACCTGTCGAATCTGACGGTAAGTAATCAGCGTCTCCCATGCTACAAAGGAATTACAAGTTACTTACTGGCCTTTTGTTAGTTGTTACGGATTTCAGAATTAGGGTTCAGTTCCATTGAAGCCATGTGATTGGTGAATTGCGGCAAAGCTCTTCTCCGCTCCGCCTCAATGGAACTGCATCCTTCGGATTTTTGGGATCGGGACGGGGAAAAGAATTGGGCCTCCGCTAATCTTACTCCACGGCGACACAACGCTGTAGTTATTTCACGCAAGTCCCAATCGGCAAAACGTCATCGCTTCTTGATGGATATTCCACCAGTTCCACTAATACTCAGTTTTATAATCAGAACCGCTAAGGCAAATATTTACTATTATTTTATATAATTCCACTGAATTGTTTGTCGGAGGTTGTGTTCCCGGAAGGGGTGATCTGGGTGTCTTTGAGGCCCAAATGAATAGTTTGCTTAAGGGTTGATGTGATCCGCCGTGAGCCGCATCATCGCATACCACCAGGTTAAGCAAATATCTATATACTAGCAAACCCAACCACGCGTTGCTGTGGCTAAGGTACTTGTCAAAATAATATTGTGACTATAATTGAGATGTAAGCTATCCTATCTTTCAAGTTGGATCAAAATGCACACGGAATGCAAATCAAATTTAAAATCGGTTTAGTAGTTTAGGAGTCCGGGGTTGCGGGGTAAGCGAAATGAGGCACCGCGACCTCGGCCTAGAGCAGGAGAAGGAACAGGGGGGTTTTTAGTCAGTAAGAGTCTGACACTCCCTCCCGCCTCACCCTGGGCGGGAGAAGTCATTTGATGATTTTCTGACTCACAAAAAAAAAGAAGTCCATCGCGGACAAATACGTGACACGATATTTTTATATATAAAGATATATATTGCGGGTGTCCATGGGCAGCGCCGATAGCTTACCATCAGGTAAATTGTCTGCTCCTTTTGCCGACAAATCTCATAAAAATATATATTAGACCCCACTGAGAAGCTGTGAAGCATCGTGAAGCAATCTGGAGTAAAACTTTCGAACCGCGTACACAATTGAAATCGCTAATACGCCTCGAACAAGTTAGATGATTTGAGTAAACTCTCCTCCGTCTTGCTAGCTATACTGGTTGCAAACTAACACTTGCGTGCCTGTCTTTAGAACTGGTCCTCTTAACTGGTGTGGTTCTTTCCTCAAAAGACCACTACAGAATGAACTTGCACGGTTCTCTCACATTATGTTATTTTTACATTGTCTGTACTTGAAAAGAGACTGACCTCTGAGTTTGTTTCGGCATTTCTTCTCAGAGTAGTCAGATAGGAAATGCCGGCTTCATCTAGTTTTTCACATATAAGTTTTATGGCCAATTTGCAAAAAAAAATTCATTGTTTCATTGTTTCTTCGTATAAGAAGAACAAATTTGACTGCACGGTTGACGGCCGTCGAGCAACGTGTCGTGGGTTCGATTGCTGCACGGCTACTCTTTTGTGTGATCCACAAATTGTTGTTCCGGGTCTGGGTGTGATGTGTATGTGGTATTGTATGTTTGTAAACGCACCCAAGACACGCCGGGAGTAAATCCTGGTGTAAAAGTGTAGTCTCTATTCAATTCAAAATGTATCATCATCATCATCAGCCTATATATAAGTGCCCACTGCTGAGTGGGTAAAGGCCTCTTCTCACACGAAGAAAGTTTGAGTAATAATCACCACGCTTGCTCAATGCGGGTTGGCAATTACAAACTTATAATTAGAAATTATAAGTCCAGGTTTCCTCACGATGTTTACCTTCACCGTATATCAGTAGTGTATTTTGCTTCTTCCTTTCATTTCCACCGGCAATTCAACTAGAGTAAACATACATTTGTAAAGACAGTTATAATCTCGTGGGTTGTGTCCCAGTATAACCACATTTATATAGTGAATCCTTGTAACAGTAATAAATTGCTTTTTTTAAAAAAAAAGGACGCACGGAACGCCTTTTTAAAAGAACACATATTTTTTTATATTATTATTGGTCAACAAAAACACGTTTCGACAAAGAAAACCTTTTAATTAATTCGTTACATAATGTACTTACATATGTATAAATCAATATAAAAATACAAAAAGAAAAATACATTACCAAATATCGCTACGAATTTCATCACAGGGTGAATAGATATATAGCAATTAACTATTTGACGATGTACAAAATACAATATAATAGGAAACAAAACTAGGATTAAGTGCCGAACCATGCTTCGGCATGAATGGGTCGCCCGGAATAACACCACGGCTTCACAGAAAACCGGCGTGAAACAACCACAGCGTTGTGTTTCGCCGTGTGAGCGAAGTCACCGGAGACCCAATCCTTCCCCTCCCCCAATCCCTAAATCTCCAAATCTCAAACCCCCAAAAGTTCAGCAACGCAGTCGTAACTCCTCTGTAGTTGCGGGTGTCCATGGACGGCGCTGATTGCTTACCATCAGGTAATCCGTCTGCTCGTTAGCCGATCTATTACATAAAAAAAACTAGCTTAGAACCAACTGACCACTACAGATGAGGCCCAACAGTTCCGATAATCAGCCGGAGTTGCAGGGTAAGCGCAATAAGGCACCGCGGACTCGGCTTAGAGCAGGAGAAGGAACTGCGGTTTTTAGTCAGTAGGAGTCTGATACTTCCTCTTGCCTCACCCAGGGCGAGAGGATCTGACGATATCGTCGCTCCATGTAGCAGGTAGTAAATTGCCCGACATCTATTCACCCGGTAGTAATGAACTTAAATAAAATTTATTGTAATTCCATTATAATATTATATTAAGCGCCAAAAAAGCTATTCGATTATACATAAATTAATTCTAAATACATTGAAGATAACGACGACGAAGCGTCATGAATCAACCGAGACAGTGAAATAGCGCACGCTGCTCATGAGTAAGAGTCCCGTTATGACTCGAAACTAGTCGAGCTTTTCTCGGTTAATTCCGAGTAAGTCGTTATTTTCAATTGAGGATATATTAAAAGTAATAAAATAAAACAGATCAGATCTTTTATAATAAAAAATTGTGAGACCACAAAACAAGACACCAGAAGA